ATACCCAAAAGACGCAAAGAAGATGCTTGAGTTTCGCTGAGGAAAAACGAAAACTTTCCAAGATAAGCGGAAAAGTTATCCGCCAATCTACACTAGGTTGGAACAACCTTCGATATTGTTTGTTGTCACTGTATGCCTCATCAATTATAAAGAATGTCAAATATCATCAATTATTTTTTTCATCCAACAAAAAAAGTCATGCATTATTTTCTCTCATAAATGTAAAATCACATTTGATGATTTAATAAGGATTATTGAACTGTATTTATGCTTTTACAGCTAATAGATCATATGACCTGACAAATCCGCTCTTCTACACGAATATATCATCTAGATAAGTAATATTAAAATTACGATTGTTTATATGAAATAGAAATATTTTTTTGCGTTCTGTTTGAAAGAAAGAACGAAAATAAGAGTCACACTTTTTGGTGTCACAAACTTGAATGCCTCGTGAAAATTTCGACTGTGTTTGGTAGTTATTTAGGTGTAATAGAAGACGAAATACATAATATACATTTAGAAAATCAATTACAATATTCTTTTTATAGGATGGTAATGAATCGGATGAATTCATGTAATTGGACTTCAATTTACATTGTAAATTGCTTTCATTTTTATTGTTTATCATTTTTGTTTTTATTTTTTTTTCTGTTTGCTTCATTTATATTAATAAAAGACTTTTCTTGTTCTTACTTCTTATTTTTAGATGAGAATTTTTTGAGTATGACAACTAATCATAAACCATTATCAATCATTGCTAAATGTGCATTATGTTCAATAAAAACAGAACTGTTTGTTTGTTCACATTGTGATAAAGTTATTTGCCAAATATGTATTGATAAACATCAATTAAAACTTAATGAAACACTAAAAGAACAATGGAATTTATGTAAAACAAAATATTTTAATTTATTTCGATTATCAGGTTGAAATTAATAACTCGAAAAATTATTTTGTAAATGAAATTAATTTTTGTTTTATATAATTAGACAACAATGCTAAAGATATGGAAAATGTTGAGAATGAAATTGATCGAATACGTTTATTAATTAATCAACGATATATGGATTTAGTTAATTTACTTGAGCAGGAGAAAAATAATTTATTAAATAAAATAGAAGAGTATATTCAATTAAATTTATCTAAGTGAGTTTTAAATAATGAATTTATTAAGTAATCATATTTTGAAAAAAAAAAAACGACAAAATTATATATTTTCTTAGCGTTAGCCATACAGATCTGCAACAAATATTTGATTCGATTAATCAACGACTTAATTCTATATTTGAGTAAGAAGATATTCGAAATATTAATTAGTATGTATATATATATATGTATGTATAGAGATCCTAATGCTTCATATGATACTGAAGATTTTCTTTTGGAAGTCGAACATTTCAATAGGCTGATGTACAGTCGAGAAAAACAGATACAGACAAATTCACTTAAAGTATGTTATTAATAATAATATTCTTTGCTTAGAATTCTTTGAAAAACCTCACAAGAGAACTATTCGAAGTGATCTTTGATGCTGAGTTATGATTAGTTTACTGGATTTTTGACAGAATTTTAGATACTTCTCGGAAGATTGAGTAACGGCGTTTCGATCTAAAACTTTCCCTTTAGATAGATCTAATGACTCTTAAAATATTCTGAAAGTTACAATAAAAAAAAAGAAACGTTTCTTCATCGAATTACTGAACTTTTATGTAAACTCTATTTTGTGACCAAGTGTAGTTTTTGAAAATTCAATATCTGGACAAACGGACATTGTTTCCGGCTAAAACTGTCAGGATATTCTAAGAGTCATTACAGCTATGTATAGGCAAAACGTTAGATCGAAATTCTACTATTTGATTTTCTGGAAATTACCCACTGAACTAATCGCAACTTGACGGCAATTTTTCACAGAGACGAACCTTTTAGACTTTTGCTAATCTCATCAAGATCTGTTTGTGGGTTCAATATGAACTCAAATGGCAAGTGTCATTTAGAGTAGTGTCTTCGTTAGTAACACTGCTTTAAATGTCAAACATATAAGAGTGATACATTCGCTGCTCGTAGAGTGAAAGATGTTTGAATAATTTTAAAAAAGTTAATCATTATCATTATACTCTAGGGTATTAGATGTGGAGAAAAACCTGTTAATCTATTTTTGAATATTAGCGCGATCAAGAAATACGGAACTTTTTCAACAGAAAAAAATATTGGAACTTGGAAGCAGAAGTCTGTTAGTTGGCTTTGTCTCGAACTAGAAAAGTTCGGTCACTGGATCCGATTATCGAATCCTTGATTACAAATTTCCACTTTGTTTCTGACTGAAAATTCACGGAACTGGCTGCCGAAGCCATTTGCAAGAGTAGAAGATGCATAGATATATTTATTTCATTTTTTTTATAGTATCCTTGTTTGTCCCCTGCGAAACCGATGAGTATATCTGATATATTTGGTGAATTACAATGGAATTCTACACCAATGTCAAATCGTACATTGACTAGATCATCAATGAGTGATAGTCCAACTTTAAATTCAATAATAAATGGACATAATCCTACTGAAACTATTAATGGATTCCAAGAGGAATCGACCATTGTATCACAGAAAACAACATCAATGCCTGTAGTACAAAGACAAAAACAATGGACAATAGATGCAGCGGGTGTACCCCATTTTCTATGTGTACTTTCCAAGAAAAATCATCTTCTTTTTGCTTGTGATAAATTTGGTTCTATTGATTTATATCAACTTGATAGTAATGAACCGAGTACTAGTCCTCGTCATTTACGACAATTTGAACTTTTTCCTGGAAATACGACTAATCCACAACCACAAATTATTGAAACATTTACTGTTTATACACCATTTATTGTAGTTGCAGCTCGTATGTTGAAATTTAAAATTAAACTCGAAGAAACAAAAAAAAAATTTCTTCTTTTTTTTTCTCTCAATCTAGATTTAAATGATCAAGCTGATACAAGTTCAATATATTTTTTTGATCATCGTGGTTTAAAACAAGCTGATACATGTTTACAAAATTTTCCTGTTCGACAACTTTCAGCTGATGTTAGTTTTAAATGTTTATGGGGTATTGATCGTCATCAACATGCAGGTATATTAGATTTTCATACAAGTTTACTGAAATTAACACCTTTACTCATATACAATACTAAATGGAATTTTTTTGACGATCACGTTTCAAGTGTAGCTCAGACATAACACTATCTTTTGACTAGTGGTTCGTATTAAAAATACAATCAATATTCATACCATATCCACAAGTAATTCCATTTCGTAAGGTCATTTCATAGTGAAATTGGTCTTCTAACGAGTTGAAGTAGTCAATTTTAGTTGGATAATGTTTTTCAGGCAATCGTTTGATTGAGTTATTACTCTTGAAATATGTTTAGAAAGAACTGAATCTGTATGAATGGAAAGAGTAGAATGTGTGTTACATCAGAGTAACTAAAACTTTTTAATATCACATTGCTTATGAAGTAAAATGACATACAATAGATTCTACTCATGTGAACACTTTTGTATTTTATGTAACACGATCTAATAGAAGTGTTGAAGTATAGTAGTAAAAATATGAACTCATCCCTCAGATCATGACAGACATAGATATGGCAACAGGTAATATATTAATAATGTCTCTTTATAATATATGAACTATTTCCCGTATTGCAATCACTTATGCAAATCAACAGATGCGATGTCTTTATTTCAGCATAGAAGCAAAATCTCAATGCAAAGTTTCAAGTCGAAATTCGAAAATCAGTGTTTTCTGTCACCACGATATTTCTTTAAACAGATAATGTAAAATAGCAGTATTACTGCAACATTAAGTTAAGGATGAAAAGTTTTTTTAGCATAATCCTAGCTTATTTTGGAGTCACATGATGCATATAATCTCAAGGCAAAACTGTTTGGACAGTTGAAGAACTTTCCTTATTATAAATCAAGTTTTCTGTGGATATTGTATAGAAATGGATTGTACTTTTGATAAAAATTGTCTCATAATAAAGAATTTTATAATCTATTCATACCTGAAACAGAATCGTCCTGATTTCTTATTCTAATTTCTATAGTTTATTATAATCAATTACCAATGAATGTTCAACAAATTCCAACTTACATAGAACATCGTGAAGAATTTATTAAATTTAATCGGAGTTTTGAACCAATAAGGTAACATTTCAAGTCTATGAGTAAATTTAATGAAAAATAATGAATAATAAATAAAAATTAATAGAATAGCTCAAAATCAAACATCTATTGCTATTGTTGAACGTAATTCTCAATGTGCACACATATTCAATAAACAAACAAAAAAACAAATAGATGAAATTGAAAATTTATTACGTACAAAAGGAATATTTCGTTTATGGAATGTTCTAGTGAGTGTAATTAACTAGAAAATAAAATAATTTTTCTTTTATTTATTTAGCTTCGTGATGATAATTCAATGGTACTTAAATTGGATGAAGATTTACCTCCCAATAGTCGACCACCTTCAATAAACCATCTTGTTCTGGAACTTGATCCTAAAGGTAAACCTATATCACAAATTGAACGAACATCTGTTTATGGTCTTGCTATTGGTCCAAATCAAGAAATTTTACTTGGTTGTAAAAGACATCAACAGAATGGATTAATTGAATGTTATATTTAAATATTTAATTTTGATTGTTCAGGTATTCGAAACACTTTATTTCTTTAAACAATCAGAGTCGATATTAAATCTGTTTTCTTTTTAGAAAAGCAAATATGATTAAAGAAGAAATATCTTAAAATATTATCTTTGTTGCAAGTCTGCAACAATGTTTATTTTCAACACATATTTTTCTACTGTTCTTGACTACACAATAGTGTGCCACTTTTTTTTTCTTTTTCTGAGAAGAATGAACAAACGCATGCGCATGATTGCTTTTGTTTTTATATAAAACAATCACTTTTTTTTAGATGTACATGTTCACTTAACTTTATTTTAAAATAAAATGTCAAATTCAGAAAACTGTCCAAACTGGTAAAATTACTAATTAACTTAATATATTCATTTGCTTGATTTCCTTTATTTCATTTAGTGATAATATCTATGGCAATGAACCACGTAAAATTCCATGGTAATATTAAATTTGAAAAAACTTTGATAATCTTTTTTTTTTCCTTTCTTTTCTTATCAAGTGGTCATATTGTCTGTCATAAATGTTGTCTGGATTTATTTAATAAAGAAAATAATACTTTGATTTGTCCTGTATGTGGTGATACACATACATTTAAATCAAAAAATACATTTAAAAAAACTTTACAACAAGTAGCTCATTCTGGTTTTGGAAAAAAGACAGCAACACGTGAAATTAGTTTTGCATCAACAATGGTAAGACAAAAAATAACAAGAAATCATTTATCAATATGAATTGTATATATGTAGCCAGTGGAGAAAGCATCTGGCGCAGAAAAATCAGCGAATAAAGAAGTAAAAAAAGCAGTTGCAAATTTACCAACAGCTCCACCAGGTGCTCCACCAGAAACTTCACCAATACCTCCTCCACTACCACCATCACAACTGGAACCCTTTGTCGTTGTTACTAAATCACCACTTCCAATGCCACTGATGCCAACTAAACCTACAGTAATGGATGGTGTACCAAAAGTCATAAAACAACAACAACAACAACAACAACAATCAACATCGAATAATACAACTTTACCTTCTTTACTCAATACAATAGTTTCAGCACCATCACCATCACCATCATCATCTGTTTCTGAAGCTGTTATCGCTCGTTGTCATAGTTGTGGTAATAAATGTCAAGTAATTGTAAGTTAATAAAATTTAAATTATTTAATTTATCTGCTTAATAATACATATTATTAGGTTTGTGAACATTGTGATCATTTTGTATGTCTTAAATGTGCTGAAGAACATCGAACAACCACTAAAGTTGATGCTCAAGAATTAATAAATAAATGGCATGAATGTAAAAATAAATATAATATGTTACTTCAAAAATTAAGTAAATAATATTACATTTTTTAATAATATTTAAGAATGCCTAAATTCCTGGAACGTAATTTCATAGATGAGCCTTTTTTAGTATTCAGAATTCATAATCTTGTCAATTTTTTATCATAGTTGCGCTCAGTTTTATGTTTTTCCATCTGACACTATCATTAGATTTCATCACATCTGAAACAACGAGCTTTAGAACTGGTCGAAAGAACTTGATCAAAAATTACTAACTTTTTCACACTCAGAAAATGTTGTAAAATGATAGTAGTTCAACAATATACAACTACGTTGATGTCCACTTATCAAGATCTCGTTCTTTTTCTAGACAAAAATTTTTCGACATATTTGAACTCATAATAGTCTACTCCAAAAATGTATAATACTTGAAGAATATTTTTCAATAAAAGTCAATGACATTCAGGATACATTTATTATCTCGTAGTCTTCTCTTTGTTCGAACAAATATAGATATTGCTATCTTACTAATAAAAAAATGTAGGATATTTTTAACAATTCAGATTTGTTTAATCATTCGGTTGTAATGGTCAAGTTAAAATAATCTAAGACTTCATAGAAAAACACAACATAATAAAAAAATCAATCATTCATAGTTAATGTGATTCACTCCTTTTTCTATTGACTGGACGCACATGAAGAAGTCTCATAAAGTAAATCAAGGAAACGTGAATTAAATTCTACCATTTTTCACACGAACTTTAACGGATTACATCGACAATGGCTGCCTTTGGTTCATTCCGCGTATTTATATGAATAGTAAAATACAATACTGAATCATATCAATTATGTATGATTGATTTTAAACTATCTCTGGTTTCCATATGAGGTCTTCTATTATTTTAACTTGACCGTTACAAAAGAGCACTAAAGAAAATATAAATTTTTAAAGAATATCATACATGTTTCGATTAGTAAGACATAAGCAGTATATCTATTTGTTTGAATTAAGATAACACTACAAAAATAATAAATATATTCTGGATACGATTGAATTTTATTGAAAAATATTCTTGAAACATTATACATTTATCTAAACTACATTGTGTTCTTTTGAAGGAGATCACAGCGAATTCTGATATTTCGAAATATTTTTGTCTACAAAAAAAGAACGAGATCCTAATAAGCTGACGTCAAGGTAAATTAGTTATGTATTGCTGGACTATTTTCATTTTACAATGTCTTTACGGTGCGGGAAAATTAACGATTTTTGATAAGATCCTTTCGGTCAATTCTGAAACTCTTTTTTTCTCCATGTGATGAAATATAATGATAATGTCAGATAGAATAATCAAAACTGAGCGGTATGGTTATAAAAAAAAGTAATAGGAAAATGAATTCTAAACACTAAAATATCTCATTTTTGAAAGTAGGGTTCAAGAATGGATGTATCCCTGATATAATTGATTATTTAATAGTTGTTGCTTTTTTTTTGTCTTGAATATCAATAGACCAATATAATCATGATAGAATTCAAATTGAAAGTGATCTTGCTGCTATAAGAGTTGCTGTTGAACAACGTTCACGAGATGCTATTCAATATGTTGTTGATCAACGTGATTCTTTAATTAGTCGTATTAATGAACATATGGAAAAAGAACAAACAATTAATAAGTATTAATACGACTAATATGTTTTTTCTTAAAATAATTCTTCCATTTATTAAGTATTAAGCATAATGATCTTGTTAATGAATTTCGTCAAATACAAAATCGATTTGAAAGTGCTCTTAAGTATGATGTTGATTGATTTTTATTTAATTTTTTTTTTGTCTTATTATACAGTGGAGAAGATATTGGTTCATATACTCAAGGTGATTTTTTACGTGATATTCATGAACTTCAAAATCGAATGAATAAACGTAATAATTTAATGGAAAAACATATTTTTCAAGTAAATAAACATTAAAAAAAATTTCCTCAAAATCTTGACTTCTCGTATTTCTATATTTTAGATTCCAACAATTAGTCGATATGAACGAATATCAATTGAAAAATTACTTGGTGAACTTCATTTTAATTCTCATATGATGACTGGCATTCCTAATCAAAATATATCATCATTGTTAAACAATCAACCTTGGTCAAAACAAAATGGTTTATTAGATTATCCTGCAAAACCTTCAACAACAATCATGCCTAATACATTAACAAGAATCTCTTCGCCAACAACAACAACAACAACAACAACAACCTCTAGTATATCACCAAATAATCATGCTACAACAACAACAACAACCACAACAAATGACATAACTAATATTAAACCATTAATGGCAGGTACATATCAAAATGGTACAATCGATGTGTTTGATGAATTTCGTCGTATGGCAGCTCAAATTCATCAACAATTTAATGCACCTTATAGTAAAGTAATTAATGCTGCATCATCGATTCCATTTCCAATATCGGATGGAATTCAAAATATTGATGGAACTGATAAAAATTCTAAAAGATTTTTACCAAAAACAAAAAATCAAAATCCTTCAACAGGTACATTTAGTATGCAATGGAAAACCGAACATACAGCAGGTACATAAATGATATATTATTATATAAGATAGTCGATAAATAACTAGACGATAAATTGATTAAATATCTTCAGTTTATTTTAATTAATCGGATTGATTTTTTTTCTCAGTGATAGAGAACTCGTCAAAGCTTTTGGTTCAAAACGAATATGCCAAATCAATATTATGTAGAACAAACACTATTGACCTTAATCAAGAAATATTCTATTCATCAAAAGTATTTCACTCTGCTACATCAGTGATTCTTAGGTGTAGATATATGAAATTTTTCGTGTATATACTTCCATTGAAATATAGATCAGTGAAATCAACCTGATCTTGTTTGATTGAGTAGAAGAGCAGCTCTGATCTATGGCAAACGTTTTCCTATTTATACTACAAATTTCATCGAGTTTTATTTAAGTATTCAAATACTGTGGATAGTCTATGTAAATAATAGCTTGAGTAGATCGAAAGTTCTATTTCATTTACAGTTATAGAATTCATCGTGAGAAGAACTATCACACATCAGCATAAGATCCCGTCATGACCAAACAAAAAAAAATGATTTTTTGATAATAATTTTCATAATATGTGCGAAAGAATAATCGTATTTAACCTTTTATGTTCAGAACTTTGTCCTTTTCAAATTGATGTATTGTACTTGAAGATATACGACATAGAAAACTACAGCACATTCCTCGTGATCAAAAAGTTTCGTGACTGACTGTGGCTAGAACTGGTTTCGAAGAATATGCAGCATTTTTCTTTGACATAGATCATTATATTCTCGACTTTTAGAAATCATTTTGAAGAGGAAAAAATTCTGAACACAAAGGCTTAAATTAGATTTATTTGCTCACACCATTATGAAACCTATAATTAATTCTTTCTTTAGACACGCCGAGTTCTAGCCATAACTTCTTCTCAACTTAAGCATAGAAGATCAGGGCTCTTCTCATGGGCCTACATTTCTTAAGTAATACATACCCTTAAAATTTCTCAGGTCTAATTCTACGAATGGGTAAAATACATTAGATGAATAGTGTATTTCTTTATTGAGGTCAATAGAATTAATTCAAAACAATATCAATTGACATTTTTTTGTAAATAAAAAACTTGAACAGTTCTTTATGACCAAGCAAAAATGCCCAGCCTGATTGATTAAAATCAGGCTAAAGATATTGAGTATTTTTATCATCTAGTTATTTATGGACTATCTTGTATATATCTAATAGTCTATTTGTATATATGTATTTGTTTTTTTTAAGTACCTAATTTTTTATGTATGACACCATATCCAACACCAAAAATTTTCATTCTTGATAAATATGGTAAAGTATCTGTATGTAGTATTCCACCAAAACCACCAAAACCATTTGAATCATATTCATTATTTCCAAATGGTACTGACGAATTGATTGAATCTGCTGTTGTTTCATCACGTTTTCTTATTGTTTATTCTCGAAAAAAACAAGATACCATGACTGGTACAATGTATTTTTTTAATCATGAATGTAAATCCGTTTTACAAAGTGGTATTCATCAAAGCATTCCAGTACATCATATATTATGTGATCAAAATGCAAATCGTCTTTATTGTCTTGATCGTATGCGTTGTACAATCTACTATCATACATTACCAAATAATTCGAATGAAATTGAAACATGTATGAAAACGCGTCGTGATTTTATACAATTTAATTCGAATTATGCAGCTTTTAAAATGTTACAAAATGATGATATTTTAGGATTTTATGAACGAAATGAATGTACTGTTCATTTATATGACAAAAAGAAAACAGAAAAAATTGATGAATTTAAATGTGAACACTTCACAGATAAATTTGAAAGTTGGGGAATTATTGGTATGTCGAAGTTTGAATTAAAAAGAATTTAATGAAAGAAAAAAAAAGAACATAGATATGAAAGTGTAATTTTGAGGAGTTTCTTTTTAAACTTAATACACTTATCAAACGGCTAATATCATTCTGATTTTTAAATTAAATAGAACACTGCTGAAAACGATTGATATTCGGCAAGAAAATGTTACTGAACTCTATATTAGTAATGCAATCTGATGAACTTGAAAATCCGTAGCAAAAGAGTAGCAAAACAACATTTCGTCGTTTATTTTGCACGATCTTAATTGATGGACTACGGATTAATCTTATATCAAAATTGATTGGTACTTATAAAAAATGAGTTTGATCTTAGAAACCAATCTGTTTCTTCCAGTTACAGACCATTTTTAGCAATCGGAGGATCAAAATAGAGAGAAAAACATTCTATATAGAGATATGCCGGATGATTACTCCATACTTCAAGATAAGGATAAAAGTTATCCAGGATAGGGTAAGAGTAGAGATTTTTTCAGGATAGGATTAGGTAAGGGTAAGCATAGTACAGGGTAGAGTAAGAGCTAAAAAATTTTCTCAGCCAGAGTGCCAGGTATGAAAAAAGCTTATACTACACATCTCTATTCCAAAATGTGTTAACAACTTCATAAGTTCACTCTTTTATTAAACATATAACAAAATACAATTGATACAATAATATGTTTATTTTCTTTGTAGCTATTCGAAAAGATAATCATAGTCTTATATTCAAAGTCGATGAACGTGATGATCATGATGCGGCAAACCGGCAACATATTGTTTATGAAGTTAATCGTTCAACAAAACAAATCATAAGCCATATTCAACTTAATTCAGTATTTGGTATGATAATTGGACCAAATAATGAAGTTATATTAGGTATTCGTCAAACAAAAGACAGTGGTGTTATTCAATGTTATATTAGAAAGTAATAAATAATTGTATTAAAAAGCCGGTGCAGATGATCGAGAACAAACAAACAAAAAAAAACAGGAATAATGTGATTTTGTTCTGTCTGTGTTAAACAAAAAAAACAAAATATCATCTTTTGTTGTATATTTTTTTGCTACCAAAAACAAGATGATAAATCACTGTGATTGTTAGTGAGAATGCAAGTTTGTTTTGTTTATGCTGATGATATACTTTATAGTTTTCTCTTTTTGTTTGTTCATGATTATATTTGTCTCTAGTCAAGACAAAACATGACTTTTCGTTTTTTCACTCGCGTTCAAAAAGATATCTTGTACATATCCTTTATTTGTTCTTTCTTTTTTTTTTGGTTAATTTCGCCACTTTATTTGGTTCTTTGTTGTGATATGAGTGAAAGATGAAAGAAGATTAAAAACAAAAGTTTACATTTTACAAAAACGAACTATTAGTTTAATTTTCGTTTATGCTTTTTTTTTCATTTTATGTTCATTTTCGTTTTTTTTTCTACTGGTTATTAATAAACATGATGATTATATATCTAGGATGTATTTTATGTTGACTTTTTCAACATTGATATAAAGTCTTTCTTGTAGAATTCAATGAAATATGTCCATATCACGAAATATTCTTTCATGTACAGTTTGTCAATCATTATTTGATGTAAGAACAATTTTATTTTCATTAATAATATTTGTATATTTATTTTTTGATAAAAGGATGCAAGACAATTACGATGTGGTCATTCATTTTGTTATAAATGTATTATATCTCAATTTGATAAAACATCGAATAGAATCGTTTGCTCGAGATGCAGGTTAGTCTTGTGGATATTCAATTAGTTCGAAGTACAAGTATTAAAAGAGAACAACAGAAATATGACATTTTCCATTTGAGAATTTTCCTTCAAATACATTCTACTAACATTTTTTCTATGTAAATGATATAAACGTAAAAATGATCTATATTTCTTTTTTAAAATAAAATCTTTTAATTAAGCTAAAAAATCTCGATATCATAATACTAATTCAGTCTTTTTTAATGACAATCATTTGAAGTAAAAACAAAAGAGACTTGCTCGAAAATACGTTTTAACAATGTGCTTAAAGTCTACTTAGCAAAAATAAAACTTGACGGTTAAAGATCTGATATAAATGTATTCCTTTCAATCGCTCGATATTTCATCGTTAGTGTAGTTGTCGTTTGACAAAATACTACCTCAAATTCAGAAATATTTCACTGTAATCTAATTCTCACAAAATATTTATGATTAAAGTATTCATACTAATTTCTACTAACAAAATTGTTCCGTATAAATATCAACAACGTCATGAGCTAATTACTTTTTTATCTCTCTTCAGACGTATTCATCAGTTTGAATCATTTTCACATTTTGAAATGAGTTTAATTGTTGATGCATTTGTTATGTCATTGGTTATGGAACATCGACGTAAAACTACTATTCAATCAACACCATTATTAGCATTTACACTTGAAGAAATTCTTGAACGAAGTCCTGCACCATTTCTTATTGCAAAATGTGCTGAATGTACACTTCGTAAAGAACTTGGTATTTAGGAAAAACAACTACATCACATACTATTGAAGACAAACAATTCCTATTTCGTTTTTCTTTTAAGTTGTTTGTCCTGAATGTGAACAAGTAATTTGTTTCGAATGTATTTCTCAACATCAACTAGTTGTAAATAATCGTGTTCAACAAAATTGGATGACATGTAAAGATATGTGGAATACGATTTATGAAAAATCGAGTAAAATATTTTTTCTTTTGTTTTCCTCTTTAAAAAATTTTATTTTGTAGTGTTATTTGATGAACAACAATTTAATCTTAAATCTTATACAGATGAATTAAAGTCTCGTATTGAAAAACGTTCAAATTTTCTATTTGAAACGATTGAAAAATGGCGAAATATCTATGATAATAAAATCAATCAATATTCAGAGGTATCTAATATTATTCGTCAAGAAATAACAACACAATATCAATTAATTAATCAACATATTCAAATATTTCTTAAGTTTGTTTGGAAGAAAAAGAAGAAGAAAGTTCTTTTAATTACATTTATGTTTTTTAGTACCAAAGATCCTGATCCAATCAAAGCTGAACATTTTCTTCAAGAAATTAAAGATTTTAAAATAAAATTACGTCGACAAATAAAACAAATTGATGAATATTCGCATAAACTTCCAACTTATTCAATATTAAATTTTGATTCATCTATACTTGGTACTCTATCTATGCAAACATCTATTGATAATCTTAAAACTATCGTTGATGACAATAATAATGAATATCATATTGAAATAGAAAATGATATAAATGATAATGAAAGTACTAGTTCAAATGAAAGTCAAGAAACAATCCATGAAAATAGTAATATTCAAGAAGTTCAAGAATCGAATAGTCAATCTCCACTGACCACATTAGAAAATATTCCAAATAAGAAACTTCTTTGGTCTTTACATTTTAAATTCGTACCACAATATATTGCACTTTATCGACAATCGATTTTATTTGCATCAGATCGTTGGGGTTTTGTTAGGTGCGGTAATTTTTTTTAAAGATTTATTAAATCAATATTGTTTTGGTTTTCCAGCACATGGACTTATACAAATGCACGTACAAAGCCTACACCGAAAAAAACGTTTGTTCTTTTTCCACAATTTCGAGTTGGTACATGGTCTCGTGTCTATGTGGAATCGTTTAGTGTTTGTAAGTTTTGCAAAACATCATTTTTTTTCTTTCTTGTTTTAACGGGTAATCAAAAAGTAACTCGACAAAACGGTCTTTCATGGGAACCTAGAAAAAGACGACTATAATTTTTTTGATGATTTCTTACTAGAAAAAGGCTTCATCTAATAGTGTATGCATTATCAAATGCTACTACGTATCGTTCAAACACTGGTCTTATCTAATACAGTGAGATAAGTGAGTTCAAAATCACTTATTTTCATGTCTAATATATATAATCTTTGAATCTCTAAATCTTCGTGAAAGAAGCTAGAAGCAATGTTAAATATTTTTGTGTATGTGATTATTCATACTCTACCGATCTTTAATATTTACAAAGCACAAAAAAACGGTGGCCAAAGGTCAGAGATTCCAAAATTTCCAGTGTTTTCGTTATTTTCGTGCCATATGTGATCTTGGGCTCCCTATCTGGTAATCATCATAGTTATTCTCCCGTGATTCAAAAGCACAGATGATGCGTCTTTGAAAAACTCTGTGTAATTGAATGAAAATTGCTTTATCTTCAATGCATCATAGCATGTCAAGCCTAAATACCAAAAGGTTAATGCCACATGATTAAGAGTACCAATCGTTACGTTTTCATAAGCACATTGACATACCATTCTAAAGTAATACGGTAATTATATTGAACAATGGAATTGTATATCTTTCGATTAGTATGGCTATGTTGAATTTTTGTTTTCAATAAGCTATTTCTTTGTACTGAAACCATAATTTTATAAAACTCATGATCGTTTATATGTTCATTAATACATCTTCTAGCTTGTTTTAGTTCATATATACGTCGTATAAATTTTTCTAATTGCGTCTGCGAGATGATACAAAAAAATCAGGTACTGTTTCGACATCCTCTATTCCGTCCCACTCTTTCGTCTATTGAAATTCTTTATCATTGAGCTTTGTTTCAAAAACATGTTTTTAATGTTTTCGTTTGAGCAAACACGACATCATGAGCAGCATCATCATTTAATGGTGAATAAAAAGTATTTGGAATCGCCCAAACAATTCGAAGATGGTTGTGTACATAAGACAAAGATTAGTTCAGTATGAGTTTATTAAAATATTTAAATTTTTTGACTCTTCCGTTTATGCTTTCTGTAACTCAGTGGATCTTCGTCATAAATCTATTATGATTTCCTGCTTGAGAGAAAATATGACATGTATGCATTGAAATCAAGACACCGTATGTAATTGAGAACATCTTGAAAGGCGCGATCTATCACGAAAGTATCTTTCTACTAAAGCCAGTTTCGTATCTCTTCCTAGTTTATACGGTAAATATCATTCGTAATATTTCCGTCATTATTCTGCTAATCTGCAACATATGGACCATTGTCGAACATATATAGCAATCTGTAGCAGCACACATCATAGGTTTTATGAGTGGACTTGATAAACCATCTATGTGGTAGAAAACTACCTGCATTCTTTTGGCTATGGACAAAGATTCCATCTAAAATCAGAATGGGTGAAGCTTTATCACCAATGTGAAGATATCTCGGCAACGGTCTCGTATAATCTTGAATAATTTTATCTCGACTGGTATGTTCAAATTTCAAATATTGAGGCACGAAATGTTTCATTAATGATTGACGGGTATTTTTAAGAGCCCGTTCAACAGTACTTGTGTCATAGAGCGAGAAAAGAGTTATTAAAATGCTATTACTTAATCCTAGTCTAAGTTTTGTGAAAAGACAGTTAACTGTCATTTGTATAGATCAATTGATCATATTTAGCATATCAATGCAACTACAAAAGCCATCAAAGTCTTGTTTGTTAGCGCCTAGTAAAGTTCAATAATCTTGATCTGTATATAGTAGAGATTGATTATGGCCCATGGATATAGGTTTCGTTTTCTCATGCTATACTATAATGTCTTCAATCTGACCAAATATCGTCCAGCATTGATATTAAAATATTTATAGAGACTCTACCAATTAGTTTATAGTTTATCTTGATTAATTGAATGGCATTCGATGATAGTTGCTCTTCTCTGACATGACTCATACAACAACGTTTTCCCAATTTAAAATAAATTATACCGTTCAATAATGTGTGCAAACAAATATTTTCAATAATTTTTATTAATGGAATTCGACGAAATATTTCTGGACAGATTCAACAATATTTATCATAAACTGATAGAACACGTACAGGTGATCGAACAGTATGAGAAACCAAGAAAGAAGAAGTAACTTATCCGTTGTATAAAAGTTTTTCATCAGTTTCAGCTGTGTTATTGACTCAATGCTTGAAGAACGTTCAGAAGATCCTAATGGTTCATCAGATAGCTTTAATTGCTTAGAATGCTTTTGATAACATTCATTGCATGTTTGACAGCCGTTTTTAAATGCTCGTAGATGAAGTAATCCATCAAATGGACTGATACTATCAAAAATGACTGTGATTCCATTAAATTGTAGCTACGTTTATTATTGACAAGAATTTCACACAAACAGCAGCGTTCGTGGAATGACATAGCGTAAACCCTTTAGTTTCAAGATATTCTAAAAACAATATTGTATTGCAGAAGAAAAATATACCGTAATGGTTCTAAGAAAAACAACACACAACAATGAGTAAACAGAAAAAAATGTGCAGTAATTGTTCAAAGAGTAAGAATCAACAATAATTAACAGAGACAAGACAGTAACAACAAGTTGATTATTTTCTTAGCGTCTACGATTAATATATATGACCGTTCTCGACAGCACGTACGTCTATATGGTATGTACACACATATACTTAGTAATGGACCGCTCCGTCCGGTTGTATTAGTCTACTCATTATAGAACATGCATAGAAAAAAATCATTTTCACTCACATGGTATAGACTGTTACGCTTTTTCTATAATACTCTGCTGAAAGGAATAATCTTATGTTGAACACAAAATAATTTCATTGTTTACCAATCAATCACATAGTCTCAGTAAGAGTTTCAAAAAAAAATTGAACGACTATAGCTTATTCGTATATACTACTTTTAAACATTTCAGATCGATAAGATTACATATGACATGAAAATAAGTGAAGTGAGACTCGCTTGTCTCAATGCTATAGACAAAATTAGTGTAGGCAAGTAATCTTCTATTCATTTTTAGACAGAATGTATAGTTTTACATATATATATGTATAATGTAAACTTGTCATAAATCCTAATGATCTAATGGTCGATTGCAAGGATAAAAAGCCAGATTTTTAGCTATGAGAGCCATGTCGAAATGTTAAAATTTTTCAACTAAATAACAAAACATGTATGAGCTTTCAAATATTGATACTCGTAATCATCACATTTAACTCTGTAGATAAGTATAGAATTTATTTGAATCAGAAAAAATATTTTTCGACATCCCCGTGAAAGACCACATGTTCCAAGATTTTTTTGAGTTGCTTCTAAACTGACCTATGAAATATGATGAAAAAAACTCTATTTGATTGAGGTTGAAAAAAATCAATGTACTTCTCGTCAAATTACTTCTCATAATCGGTTATTCAAATTTTTAATTTTTCTTCTTTTTTATATTTGATTTAGATAAACCATATATATGTGTTTTTGTTAAAGGATCTGATGAGTCACTTGCAAATTTCATTGCGTTTTTTACTCATAGTGGACAATTACAGATGAAAGTTGAATATGATCATCGATATACACTTCGTCAATTAATATGCGATGAAAGTTCAAAAGGAAATTGTATATGTATGTATTTAAAATAAATATTTCTTTGACTTATTTCTGTGTTTGGTGTTTTTTTTTTAATTTTAAGGGGCTGTCGATCGAGGCATGCATTGCATTTATAAACATGATTTACCACGAGTTAATAAAGAAATTAAACCATTTTTATCAACACATAAGATAGCAACACATTTAAATGATCGAAGTTGTGATGTTATTCGTATGGCTATTAATCAAAATATTCTCGCTTTACTTGGTATGTTTTGTAAATAGTTTTTATACAATTATTTACAAGATAACTGAACATAAATAATTATAATGGTTGTTTTTGTTTTTCATCTCTAGATTCACGAACACAAATAGTAACATTTTATGATAAAAGTACTCAAAAAGAAATTGGTATTTATTCAGCTGAATGTTTACCTACCGGTGAAAATAAATTATGGCGTGTAGAAATATTTCCTGATAACAGTCTTCTTCTACGTTTTGATGATGATGAACGTACCGGTGATCGTTCACAAGTTATTCATCATATTGTTGTACATGTTAAAAAGAATGAAGCAAATAAAAAATATGAAGCTATATCGCAAATTCAAGCAACTAATGTTTATGGTTTTGCAATTGGTTCTGATTCAGAAGTTATTGTTGGTTTAAGAAAATCAAATTGTTTCGAAGGTCTCATTAATTGCTATGTTTGATAAAAAAAATTCGAAGTAATTTTATGTCTGATATTTACAAATACATATATTTTTTTGTTTTCTCATTATCATTTTATTAGTTGTTTATATTTCATATCAATCAGATATTTAATTAAAAATAGTCACGTTCTTGTTATAGTTAACTTTTGTCAGATTAAACTTCGAACATATTGTAAATAAAAACTTTATTGAACTTTGTTTTCTTTTCAGATTCCGTTTAAATTAATGCCACCATAAGATTTCTAAAGAAAGATTTATTGAAATATGATTAATGCTAAACTTGTTACATGTGGATTGTGTCAGAGTTACTATGCTGATCCTCGACAGGTAAATATCCTTGTTTTTGTGTGGAATTGACATTATGTTTATCGAAGAAAAAATTAGTGAGTGTAAGTTTTAAATCGAAACTCTGCATGTTCTCCCTTAGAGCAACACAGAACAAGCGAAAGTTCAACTATTAATGCATACGTTTTCGTAGCTACCGAAGACAACACACATAAGGCTCTTTTTTCCAAAGTTTTTTTAGCAACGGAAGAAGGCTCTCAATGGCAATAACAATAAGACTTAGGTTCCTAGAAATTTGACAGTGTCTGGAATATTTTTTGAACAAATAAAAATTTTTGTTTAAGATGTCAAGGATGATGAGTAGTGACACATTACTTTGGCACATTTGTCATATGATCAACATAAAAAATGTAAACTGATTAAGTTTTAGTTTTGGATAATAGTCAATATCAATGTTTCTGAAGCTTATCGATCTATAAAATAGTGTATTGAAGCCAATGCTAGATGTAATGAATACGCATAACAAGCTTATTTGCTGTCTAAATCAATGATTAGAATAATAATACGAGCTAATAGATATTAGACAAGAAAAAAAAAAAGAAAGTGTCAATGAAGAAAGAAAAAAATTGTGTTCAAAATCTAGCAGTGAATAAGACAGATGGCTCATTTAGTGATCAACAATAACTCTTGGATAACAAGTATCGTCTGCGACAGGTTTTTGTGAAACACGATCTAAAAGAAGTTTTGAAGAATACAAGGTAGAATCAAAGATTGTATATTAATAAGATCTCATTATAATATATGAACTCATTCTTTATTGCATTCCTAAAAGGTCAAGTGAAAAGATGCTGAAGAAATATATCCCAAAATTGATAGAATAAAATCCTTTTCCTGTGATTGACAAGGGCACTTACATCTCATCTCATATTTTAAGCTTACAAGGATTGTGCTAACAGAAAATGTGTTGTATTAGTATAACGAAATAAAATAACATACGTGAGTTTCATATTATAGTTTCAAAGGGATTCGACTGATAGGTTTTTTAAATATCTTTTAAAATTAAGTCATTTCCATTAAATGTTTATTTAGATTCCCTGTTCACATTCATTTTGTTTTGATTGTATATCAGGGCGTTTCAATGAGGAAACATTAACATTAATATGTCCAAAATGTGAAAAGCTTCATCAATATAAATCAATAGAGGAATTTCATAATCGATGTATGCGTGATGGATTTCTGGCATCAATGGTAACTCAATTTAAACGAAGTCAAAGTCGTTCATCAGCAACACCATCAGCTTTATCATCACGTCCACCATCTTCATTTTCACATACATCAACAATTCTTTCATCAACACCAATACCTCGTATACGAGCACAAGAAATAGATATAAATAATCATGATCAATCAGGTTCTGAACGTTCAACACCATCAGTTTTTAATCAACAAAGACCATCATCTGTTGCACAACAAACAACAACACGTGCACTTATTGCTAAATGTCAATCATGCAATATACGAGGAGAATTAATTGTATGTAGTCATTGTGATAATGCTATTTGTACTAAATGTGCTGATGAACATCAGAGTGTTATTAATAGTGATGTTAAACGAGAATGGGATTTATGTAAAACACAATTTGAAACAATTAATGAGAAATCAAGTATTGAGTTTCTTTTTTGTCAAAGAAATCATTTTCAATATTTTTTTTTTATTCCTTATTTTGTTTTAGCACGGTTTGATCAAAATGAAGAGGAAGTTAATAATAAAGCACGTAGTCTACAGACATTTATTAGTAAACAAAGTGGTAAATTAATACAAACAGTGGAACATCATAAAAATACGTATATTGATATTATTGAAAAACATCTTCGAACTTATAAACAATCGTAAGTTATTTTATTAACAAAAAAATAATTCATTTCTGTATTCTCAAGTGCTAACTATCGAAAATATGAAAAGATCATCTATAGAATTTAATACAGGCAAGAGAATAAACTACAAAAAATACATCAAAAAAGACGAATGTCTAAATGATCAACAACTAAGGAATCTAGCATTTTTTTCTATTGTGTCTATCTTAGAAAGCTAACCTGTTCATAGATAACGCACTCACCCATTTTTGACTTTCAAACTGTCATAACTAACGCCTTTACAAAAATAGAAAGTCTTACTAATGCATTTATCGAAAAAGGACTTCTTTCAGTAGAGCTATTCAAAAGCACTCACATTCGTGCCCAAATAAATGTACTGAGTTCAAGGTACTTGCCTATAGAGTTAGTGGTCAACAGAGCAGCGAATTGGTACTTATAAGGTACTCGTCTAGTTTCTATAGAATTTGTTTGAACAATTTTTCAACAAGTTAGTAGATTGAATATTTAGAAGTGTGTTCTAGTCAAGTGTTAGGTACTCATATAGTATTTCAAGGTTCCTGTAACTTATTGGGAGCAGGGTTCTCTGAATTTAGTATATTCATTATGGTAGAAACTTTTCTTGGTTTGAACAATATATTTTCATTTATGTCTACATCTAAGCCAACAGACATAATAATAGTCATACATGAATTTTGAAACTTTGTTCCTGAAAAACAGTATCACTAAAACATTACGGTATCTTACTCAGTGAGTTTTGTTAAATACACTAAAAAAAGCATATTTTTTACAGTTTTGATAATTAAAGAAAGTGACTCACTAATGTCAAACTGTAGCTCAATCTTCGATGATACTATAATTATTTCCATCATGTAAAATAATCTAGTCAGGTTCGAAATGTAATAAAAGACAATTAGACCCTTTTTTGCACAAAAAAATGCTTGCTTTTAGCTGACTAGAGGCAGTCAGGTTGTTTTCAAATTCGAACGGGCTCGAAGCTGAAAGTTTTTTCGTTAATTGGCTCCGAAGATTTTGGACTCAACGAGTTCTAATGAAGACTACTACTTATTTTTCATCATTCTTCAAAACAAAATGCCATCTATTGATGTAGAGTATATGAAGCCTAAAAGAAAATTCCGAATGGATAAATTCGATCGTTTTGTGTTCATGAAGTCTTTTGTTCAACTATGAATAAGAGTGATTGTTTTTTTTACCTGGATAAACAGTAAAATATTTTCTTTCTATTTAGTTCTGCTCATGAGCAAGTTGTTGATGAATATGAATCGATTGATAAACGTGTTGGAGAGTTATTCAAGTATATTATTAATATAAATACTTTTCTTCAAAAAGAAAGAATTCTTTTCTCTTATATATTTTTATTAGGTCTGCTGATATCACTACTGATAAAATTAGTGATTTTTTATTTGAAATTGAACATCTTGAAGGTCGATTAGATAGTTTAAATAAAATTCTCGATTCAAGTCAATTAAAAGTATTTCGATTATTATTTTTTCATTGATAAAATCAATCATATTTATTTAGTTTCCTTTACTCACATTACCTGAACAAGTCAATATATCATCACTTTTTGGTACTCTTCAATTTGCTCAATTAAATACTGAATCACCTACATGTGATCAATATTCCTTACCAATTACAAATGGTTATTATGATTCACAAATAAAATCTGAAGATGAAGATTATGTTGTTATTGGTTCATCAAATCATAATCATTTCAAAAATATTTTATCAAATCCAATCGAACAACTTTCATCATTATCATCTATTTCAAATATACCAAAAAAAAAACTTTTATGGCAAATTGATTATTTTTCTGTTCCATATTATGTTCGGACATATGGAAATCAATTATTTATTTGTGATAAATATGGTTTGTTAAATTGACAGCACTAGACAAAAGTTTTCGTACGGTTTTATTTTAAGTGTAACTACATAAAAAAAAACCACTGTATTTTAACATATGGCTTTTGCTAATATTACAGTCATTGTCTATCATATATCTACACAAAAATTTAACTAAAAAAGTTGAGTCATTCTGGCATTGGACTTATTTACAGTCCGAAATAATGATTGTTTCGTATGACTTTCAAATTAAATTATTTTTCTCTGCAAATGTTTCGAGAAAAAAAACCATTATTCATATGAACGAATTGAAGAAAACAGTGGGACCATCGAAGTTTATTGGTTTTAATTAAATGATCGGACTTATCTATTGAAAGGCTATAATATATTTTAACTATATCAGAAGAGAACAATCATTATTGAGAGTCAGCCTTCTTCTTCAGCTTATTGTCGGCTATAAGTACAATATTCACCATCGAGTTCAGCTAGAAATCTATCTTCAGCCTAGTTTCTTCTGTTTGATTATAACATATATAATGAGACTTGTATAAAAATCGCAATAATGTTCGAAAAAGTAAATTTTGAAAGCTGCTGCGATAATCTTCAGGAACGATGTTTTATCCAGTGTGGGAGCTGAGAGGACGGCACTTCTGCAAAGATTAGACTGTTTCTACTCGATTCGATGATTCTTCTCGGTACATACTCTCAGAAAAACATGTTTGCCCTTACAGAGTTTTCAATTGTTCCGCCGAAAGAGAAAATCCGAATAAAATACTGTTCGAAACAGAGACCGAATCGAACTGAGTTGTACTCGTTCGAGTTCGGTTCATAATCGGTCTCCGATATTAAATAATCGATCAAAGATCGTTTGATCATGGCCCACAGCATCAGAATTTTATAAAATAGATGCTAGTTCAATCAATCATTTTTCCTATATGTTTATATATATTAGTAGCGGTGCCAGGAGTTTTGGCTATGGGGGCTGAGCCCTCTTAATTCTCCTTTGGCACCACTTTTAGAAGTAATTCTAAACTTTTCCAGAAGTAGACTTGCTTCCCTTTTGACCCGTCTCTAGCCTATATTTACTTACTTTTCGAAAATTAATTTGAGCTTGGTTCATCTTCAATCTCTGCTTTGAAAATCATCTTCAAGAACGTTGTCTCAATCATCTAATGTCGTAGTTCAAAGAAAAGTTTCTTCACATGAATACGAAGATAGGGAGTTGATATGTATATCGTGTCATACCAATCATAAAATAAGTAAGTTGTTTCATAGAAACTTTTCCGAGGAAAAGTTTCACTTGTCAAAATGTAACCATTGTTATCTTCTATTCATCCATTTGAATTCCTTTTTTTTCTCGAAACATTTCTAGAGAAAGATAATTTGATTTGAAAATCATACGAAAAAGTCATTACCTCGGCCTGTTAAAACGCCGATTCAAGTACAAATCTATTTTTCAAGTTAAGTTTTCAAGTGGACATATTACAGAAAATAACTGTAATATTGGCAAAACTTGCATGTCGAAAGACAACTATTTTAATGGAGTTATATTTAAAGCAAAAGCATACAGAGAATATAGTCTACCACTTGAATTGTAATATTTCGAAAAAAAAAAACTTTTTTTTTCTTTTTAGGTTCATTAGCAATATACAAATTAAGTAAAGCTAATGATATTCGACAAAAACCAAGTTTAGTTCGTGAAATAAAATTATTTAAAGATTTTTCAACATTAACGGCAACTGATGATGATCAAACAATAATTGATTCATTTGTTGTTTATAAATTATGGATCATTGTATTTAAACGTAAAAAAAATGAATTACATGGTACTATTTATTTATTTACACATGATGGTAAACCGATACACAAAGGTAAATGTATACATAATTACCCATCACGTGAATTAACAATGGATACAGAAAAAAATATACTATGGTCATTAGATCAAAAACAACTTTGCCTTTTTTATTATGTTTTACCGGATACAGAACCAACTAATCATGAAGAATATTTTCAGAATCGTCATTCACATGTACAATTTTCTAAACCATTCGCACCAATACATATATCTGTTAATAAAAATGCTTTAGCTGTCTTAGATAAAAATCGACAAGCTGTACATGTTTATGATAAAAAAACTAAACAAGAATTATATGAACATGTTAATATATATGGTAATTCAACACATTTTTGTTGGGATATGGCATTATTTTCTGATAATAGTTTACTTATAAAACTTGATGAAATGAGTACATTAAAATCTGGACCATCAAAACATATCTATTTACAACTTGATACAACAAAAAAACATAATATTATTGGAACAATTGAAGAAACCGATGCATATGGAATGATGATCACGACAACAGATGAAATTCTTATTGGTGTTAGAATAAATACAAAAGGCATTGTCAAATGTTATATTTAAAATAACTAGGATTTTATTGGCATGTTTTTGTTTGTTTGTTTGTTTTGTCTGTTGAGTTGACTTTTTATTTTATATTAAAAATGATATATAGGTGTATTCAACAAAAAAAAAAGAAGACTAATATAAGAAAAATTTGTCTATGAGTTATGATATCTATATGTACTTTGATTTATTCTAGAATATAAATGGCTTGTTATCTTCCTGATCATCTTGTTCGATGTTTAATATGTAAAAATTTGTTTTCTGATGCACGTCGTCTTCGTTGTGGTTGTGTTTATTGTTATTTATGTTGTTTACAGCTTATTAAAAATAATACATTATATTGTTATTGTTCATATACACATCGATTTAATTCACAAGATGAAATTGAAAAGGTGAATTTTCCGATTATTTCTCTATGAGAATGAAGTTTCTTCAGTTGTGCAACAGTTTTCAAAAAAAAAGAAGACATGTTTAAAAAAAGATGTCAACTAAGCAGTTGGCTAAAAGTTTCGAGAGAGAAGCTTTTACTCGTTTTCGCGTATTTAGATGTATGCGTAGTGTATGAAAAGGAGAATTTTGTGCTCTTTCAGAAAATATGTTTGGAATTTTGATGTAACTTTTCACTATTCAGCTATTAGTGAATCTTGAAAACACTCAATAAGTTTTTTATCAAGGAAAAAACTGCGAATAGAAACTTGTTTGAAACACGCTACCACATGTTATCGAATTCATTGGAAGATCCAGAAAATAAATCTCTACAAAATGGTAATTATTTTTGCAAATTTTTGAGACACAGTGAAGGGTTTTATTAAGTCTATCGCCAGAAAAATGACTATTTCCGCCTTTTTCAGCGCAAGATGACTTTCCATCATAACTCTCCCATGTTTTAGCAAATTAAACAAAACTCTCTATTCTTCTATCATTTTGTCGAGTAGAGATTATATTTCAAATATTATACATTTACGGAACTTATTTGATGTAGACTTTTGTTTCCTGTCAAGATTTACTCACAGCTCAATTGTAAAAAGTGACAGAAAACTTCTAAACACATATTCTGAAAGAGCACAAAATTCTGATTCTCATACACTACTGCTCACTCTTCTTCAATATATTTAATATGCAAACAGTCAAATATTTTGTCTAGAAACTTTAAGTCTATTCCTTACTTTGTGTGGAACTCACATTATGTTTTTCGAAGAAAATTTTAGTCAGTGTAAAATAAAAACGGAGGGGGGGGGAGTAGCAATCATTGAGCACTTTATAACAAACGAGGATAATACGCGTCAGACTCATTTCCCGGAGTTTCTTAGTAATGAAAAAAGACGTTGAATAGTAGTGACAACAACACTTAGATTGCTTGACATCTGAGTGCCTGAATATGTTCTGAGTAGTGCAGTATTTGATTTTTGATCAAAAAAAGTGTATATTTAAAATGTCAAGAATGATGAGTAGTCATAAACTGCTTTGCCACAACTGTGCTATGATCAACATGAAAGTTGAAACGTATTGTAGGTATAATGGATAAATAAAACAGACTTATTTGTTAGCTAAGCAAATGTTCACCACAGTATAGCTCGTCTTCCTGGCGACTGATTATCCTTCGGAAACAACTATATTCTGTTAGAGATATTTCATTTAACCTATTTGGTATGAGTATAACGAAGTTAAAGAACAAATGTGAGCTTCACATTTTAGCGGTTCACTGGAAAGTCGACAATCAGAATTTCGAAATCTGAATTCGGTCAGTATTGACGAATTTCCAGTGCTGCCTAAATACTTTCGGGATTTCGACAATAATAAACTTGGTTTACCATTTCATTCTCTGACATTCGTACTATGAAATAACACATGAAGTTTGTTATTGTTGAAATCCTTTCAGGATTTAGGCAGCACTGGAAAATCGTCAATACTGTCCGAATTTCGAAATCGAAATTCTGATTGTCGAAATTCCGTCTTACCTTATTAGCTGCAAAGAGACTGTGTTAACAAGCTTTTCATTTCAAAAAAAGTATTTGTACATATACAGAATAACGAGTTTTATATCACTGAGAAATCAAGCATGTAACATAGATTCTTCAATAGTTATAAAATCTTTCGAATGTGTACATTTGAAATAAAATCTAAAAGTTCATTAAAGATCAAATTTACTCACTTGGTTTTGTTTCGATTGTTTGTTCTACATTTTTCAACGATGACTGATAAATTGTAAGGCAATGACTAATTTCAAGGTCGTCCAATTTGATTCTGTATAACAATGATACAAGATATTTGGAAAATCGGTACGAACCTTTTATGTAAATCTCTTTTATATAATTTAAGCAATAGATTTGTTTGTTGTTATAATATAATCGTATATTCCTTTAAGTTTTATTTGATTTACGAAAATTGTGTACCATAATAACTATGAAATGAAATACATAATTCCAAGCTTGCCGAAATCTTTCAACAAACACAACAGAATGTTTATTTTTGAATCAATTTATTTCTCTTATCAATTCTTATGCATACAGATTTTTACTTTATTTCTTATTGATAAATCATTTAAATTAAAAGATACTTCATCCTGAAAGTAAAAAAGAATTCTCACGATTATTGACTTTTTCTAACATTAGCATCAAAACGATAGTATTTTAGCTAAATCATATAGGAGTTCTTTGTTAAGTTGTCGGACGCATTGTATCTCGTATGGTTTCATTCAAAAATAGTTTATCAAAATTTAGTCTGCTGTGAGTCACGAAATAAAGCAAGCTGTTGCAACAACTCACAATAGTCAATTGGAGCACTTTTCACCAATATCATGAATTTCGTCGATTATCTCTCCTATAGTTTTTCAAGATCTTTCAGATTGTTATTCACTTACTACCATACTGATTTTCGCAAAACCGTTGAAACGCATCTCTTGTACAGTCTATGCCTGATGTTGATTTGCCAAGTTTGACTTGCATGTTTCTTTTTGACAGGAATAGGTGACTGAAATTTGACCATTAACACAAAACAATTTTAATTTTTATCAGCATAGACATCCATGTGAAGATATACGGAACGAAAATTCAAGGAATATATTATCATATCATAAAGAATTAACAATAATCGCTTGAAGTATTTAAGAGTTATTCACGTAAACTTTCGCACAAAGTATTGAAATATTTTGTAGATGACTACTTAAAATAGTCTTTGCTAAGTTGATCATAAATTAATGCCTATAATTTTGTTTTACTTCTTATATACATTCAAAACAAATGACATTCGTTTAAACAGTTAATCTTTCGTTTTTTCTTTAATCTAGTCTTTAGTTATCGATAATGTTGTCAATGATCTAGTTCGTCAACAGATAAAACAAAAACAAGCCTCATCAAAAAAATTAGTTGACTATGATTCAATATCAATATCTTCACCACAAACTGAAGATGATATAAATCCAAATGATCAGCAAACAGCTTTATCAATATCATCATCTAGTCTCCCTTTAACTACACGTAAACAAGTTGCTGTTGCTCAACCACCATGTACCATATGTAAGAGAAAATCTAATATGATTATTCTTTGTGAACACTGTAATTCTGATATATGTGAATTATGTATGGAAAAACATTATCAAATTATAATAGATATACTTCATGATAAATGGATACAATGTAAGAAAAAATTCGATCAAATTAATGAACATGTTTGTAAGTATACATACATAGAGTAGTGGACCAAAATCTCTCCTGTCAATAGAATTTTCCCTGGAACTTATATAAATAAGCACTACGAGTAGGAGTGGCCGAGTACAAAATTGCCGCATCGGACCCGATCGAACCATACTTTGATACTTTCAATAAAAGGTTCTCATCGGAATTCAATATTTTCCCTGAATATGCAAGATACTTTTTCAGCCTTTTCTATTCATTGACTAGAGTCCATCAGGCTCAAAATTTTCGGATCCAACATCGATTGAGAGAAAAATTCTAAATCTGGAACCGACACCAATCCAGCAGTTTTAAGCACAAATCGTCTTCTGATCAGAATCAGTATTCATTTCTTCGGGATTATTGTTAACTATTAGTTCTAGTTTTCTTATGTCATACAGCTTTACTGATGGGTCAGTGGTACCAAATTATATTTTTATCTCAGCATCCGTTCGGTTCAAAACTGAGTCACGCTACTGTGACGAAAGCACTGCATTGTGATGTAACCACAGTTAAATCTGGGCTGAAACAATAAAACTCGATCGATTCAACTCGATCCGATCGACTACATACGATGGCCCTGACAAAGGATAATTAAATAATTTCACTTCTCGAACAACCAATATTCATTACTAACAGAGACATTGCAAACTGGTTGAAGCAAAAATGAACTAGTCTTTAATGAGAGAAAGGCGTGGCAGTGACTAAGCGAATTAGGCATGAAATATGATCGACTCATGTCGAAGTCATTGCTCGTAGAAAGTTATCGAGAGAATCGTTTAAAATGAGAGCAAAATCACAAGGGTATCAACTGATCTTTTTTGATGAGACCACCATTCGCCTGAATTAAGTCCGAGGACTTGTTTGGAAGTTACAAAGAAAGAAAAGCTCGTATGAACCTTCAGACATCCTAGCAAAGCCGATGTTAGGAGTTGTTTCTCAAGTCAAAGTTTTGATTGCGTCGTCTGTTTCACATAAAATTGATGTGTGACATTCACAAGTATGATTTCTTGCCAACAGTTTGGAAACCATTTGGCTACGATTTGAGGTTGTGAAAACAGCAAGAAGAAAACGACTTCGAACATTGGCAATTTCTAAGAATGGATTGATGAAGGAAAAAGTTCACAATTTATTAGTCATTAACTTCTCCCATATTGATAAAAGTCAAAGTAACTGAAAATTACACTAATGATCAGAGAATTACTATGAGCTTGTACGAAATAAAAATGTTTTCGTTTGATTACTTAATTTAGTACAATTTGTATAGAGGAAGAGGCCTTTTTCTGCTAATGTATTTCTTTTATTTGTACTAATATTTTAACATAAAGTTTAAAAAACTATATTCTT